AGTAGACACCCTCACATCATACACAAAAATAAATTCAAAATGGCTTAAAGCCTCAACTATAAGACATGATACCATAAAACTCCTAGAAGAGAACATAGGCAAACCATTCTCTAACAAAAACTATGATTTTTTTTTAGGTCAGTCTCCTGAGAAAGTAGAAATAAAGCAAAATTAAATGGGACCAAATCAAACTTACCTGCTTTTGTACAGCAAAGGAAACCATCAACAAAATAAAAAGACAATCTACAGACTGGTAGAAAATATCTACAAATGATGTGACTGACATGGGCTTAATTTCAAAAATATACAAACAGCTCATACAACTCAACAACAAACAACCCAATCAAAAAATGGGAAGAAGACCTAAATATACATGTCTCCAAAGAAGACATATAGATGGCCAACCACACATGAAAAGATGTTCAACATCACTAATTATTAGAGAGATACAAGTTAAAACTACAATGAGGTATCATCTCACTCTTGTCAGAATGATCATCATTAAAAAGTCTAGAAATAGCAAATGCTGGAGAGTTTGTAAAGAAAAGGTAATCCTGCTACACTGCTTGTGGGAATATCAATTGGTACAGCCACTATGGAAAACAGTATGGAGGTTTCTCAAAACACTAGAGTTGTCATATGATCCAGTGATCCCACTCCTGGGTGTATATCCAAATAAAACTATAATTCAAAAGATACAGGCACTTCTATGTTCATAGCAACATTATTCACAGTAGTCAAGACATGAAATGTCCATAGAGAAGTGAATGGATAAAGAAGATATGGTACATATATACAATGGAATATTACCCAGCCATAAAAAGAATGAAATAATACCATTTGCAGCAATATGGATAGGATTAGAGATTATCATACTAAGTGAACTAAGTCAGAAAGAGACAAATACCATATGATGTCACCTGTACGTGGAAACTAAAACACGGCCCAAATAAACCTATCTGTGAAACAGAATCATGCCAAAGAAACCAAACTGGTGATTGCCCAGGTGGAGAGGACTGGGGGAGGGGTGGAGTGAGAAGTTGGGGTTAGCAAATGTAAGCTTTTATATACAGAATGGATAAATAACAAAGTCCGACTGTATAGCACAGGGAACTGTATTCAATAGCCTACAATGGAGAAGAATATGAAAAGGTACATGTAGATATGCGTGTGTGTATGTAACAGAATTACTTTGCTATAGAGTAAAAATTAACACAACCTTGTAAATCAACTATACTTTAATAAAAAAAAAAAAAGTTCCTGTCTCACTGTCTTTGTGTAGATATTGCAACCCTGTCTGTGTGTCTGTCTGTCTGTTGGTTGGTCTAGGCTCCCCTGAGAGGGAAAGCTCTGATTCCTGCCTGCAAGATGCTCCTAGTCTAGCCTGGGGTATGCAGATACACTTGACGTGACACTTACAAAGAGGAGGGGTGATTTTAACTTCTTAGAGACTTGAAGGATGGACAGGATTTAGAAAGAACATTTGATCTGATGGTAGTGATACAGGAAAAAGCAGAGCATGACGCACTCATGGGAAAGTGAAGCACTCAGCTGACCAGAGTAAAGGATTAATGCATTCATTCATCCAGTCACCCATTCATGCAATCACGTAGTGGCAGGATCAGATTCTAGGCACTGCTACTTTAGGGATAACTGAGACTGAATCAGCCTCTGGCATCTTTAAGCTCATGTTCTGAATGAGGATAAAGACAGAAAACAATTACAAAAATCTGTGTTTTTTTTTCCTTTTATCTTTTAAAATACATTGTTTTCTGAGGGGAGGAATAAATTAGGAATTTGGGATTAACAGATACACACTACTACATATAAAACACATAAACAACAAGGTACTACTGTAAAACACAAGGAACAATAGTCAAACTATTTTGCAATAACCCACAATGAAAAAGAATCTGAAAAATATATCTCTGTATTTAACTAAACCACCTTGATATATACCTGAATTAACACAACACTGTGAAGCAACTATATTTCAGTAAAAATAATTAAAAGAAAAAATATATATTTGGGACATACAAAAATATCTCATAAATGTAACTTGTAAGACTTTTACTGAATGCCTAGATACCTGTCACCCAACCTAAGACTGGCACATCACCAATAATTTACATATAAATACATGTACCACCCACTGTCTAACTGTAGTCGGGATGAATGCTCAGAAGGATATATGTAACAACACCAGTGACTCACAGGGGATCTGAATGAGTCTAATAGCAGGTGGCAGGGTTGGGGGTGGTCAGAGAACTCTTCTCTGAGTCATGTTTGTTGAGAAATGAGAATGTACAGGCAAGTGTGGACTCTGAAAGACACCCAGGCATGGGAATCAAGCTGCATCACGACAGGAGTAGCAGCAACAGCCAGAACAGCAAAACCAAAAAGCCAGTTGAAGCAACTATATTTCAGTAAAAATAATTAAAAGAAAAAATATATATTTGGGACATACAAAAATATCTCATAAATGTAACTTGTAAGACTTTTACTGAATGCCTAGATACCTGTCACCCAACCTAAGACTGGCACATCACCAATAATTTACATATAAATACATGTACAATCCACTGTCTAACTGTAGTCGGGATGAATGCTCAGAAGGATATATGTAACAACACCAGTGACTCACAGGGGGATCTGAATGAGTCTAATAGCAGGTGGCAGGGTTGGCGGTGGTCAGAGAACTCTTCTCTGAGTCATGTTTGTTGAGAAATGAGAATGTACAGGCAAGTGTGGACTCTGAAAGACACCCAGGCATGGGAATCAAGCTGCATCACGACAGGAGTAGCAGCAACAGCCAGAACAGCAAAACCAAAAAGCCAGTGCTCTGCCTTGGGGACCAGCTCTGTTCTGCTAAATACTGCATAGCTCTATCTGGTCCTCACATTCTCTATTGTGCAATGGAGGAAACTGAGATTCAGCAAGGTTACATAATATATGCAAGGTCACAGAGCTGCTAAATTGAAAAGCTGACATGTAGCAAGATAGCACAGGAAAACAAAACTACATTTGCTGGCTTAGCAGACTTAAATTCCTTTCACTTGACAATTTTCTAAATGATGCACTTACAAATACATATTTATTCACTGAGTCTATCCATTAAACATCTAATCCAGGGCACTCCTCTGAGCTTAGAGAAGATGGTCTAACTCCCAAGGCAGATGGACCTTTAGCTAAATTTATAGCCAATTAGGGCTGGGAGCCAATAGCATTTCCTCTTATGGAAAGTTGGGTTCATGTTCCATCAAAATATTATTTAATGGCAAGACCCCAAGTGGAATGTTCCAGAAGACCTTTAGCAATTGTGCACTGCATGTTATTTAAACTAAAAACAATGCTGTGAAAAACCGCACTTCAGCACAAGCCACAGAGAGCATGCAGAATGGAATTGGCCACTGAAAAGGAGACACGATGATTGAAATATTTTCCAGACTATTACATCCTTGAAGGGTTTAAACAGAGAGAAGGAAGACAGGGAAGGGGAGGAGGATGATTTAGGGTGTTTCATTTAAGAACAACAGGATTAAATTAACCTTGGAGGTGGGGGGGGGTGGTAAGAGTAGAGAGTGGTGGAGAGAAATATTCTGCAAGATGTGAGAAGCTTCCCAAAGGAGAAGTACGCTGGGATGCAGAATTTTCCAGCCCAGCAAAGCAGGCAAAGCCATCTATCATTAAAGCTATTTACAAACTTGACAAATATAAGAGAAAATATTAAAAATATATAGAACCACATTCTTCGTTTTAGGAATGGATGAACTAATATCTCTAAATCAGGAAAAACTGCCTATTCCTTGAGATTTGTTTTCTCACATTCATCTCATTTCCCCAACTTTAAAACAAATACCACATAGCAATTAGAGCTCTAATAAAATTTCAACCCCGAGAAGGAGGTGGGTTGCATTGCAATTTTTAAATGTCTATTAACTGAACTATTATATTAATAAAGCTGACTTCTTAATCCTAGTTTACTTAGAATTTTCAGTCAGGCTGCAGAAATTCTAAATTACACAAAGCAGCCAAAAGATGAAAAGAAAATTTCCAGAATTAAAACCCAGCAGACCTAAACATTTATTGACTTCTCAGCATACTGAGAAAAATCAAAGGTTTGCTTGTGGGGGAACGGATGGGTGTGACAGGCCCAGCTCTGTCAGCTCTGAAAATCATCTATAAGCAGCCTCAGCCATCCTCACTGCTAAGCTATTTTCAGAGATAACCCCTAGGTCCAGATTTGCATGATCAGAATTACAGTTTGTGCACTGCTGCCCCCTGCTGGACAAATGGAACTCATTTTTGTCTATGGCCCAAGGAAATGCCATTTGTAAATCTGAATTAGTTTTTCATTTCCTTCCTCCCATCCCCCACATGCAATAGCACTCTCCCCAAGGACTCTGTTAGGAGACAATTCCATCTGGGCTAATGGGCAAACATCCCTTATAATGCAATTAGTGGGATTCCTCCTACTGCAACCCCAGTGACCCTCCATCAGTGTGGCTTACCGGAGGCAGCAGAAAATATGAAACACACCATCTCACTGCTCCAAGGACCACTTTCTGAAAATATTCCATTGAATTAACATTAATTCAAACCCTAGTGGTTTTTCTTCTCAGAGGATCGAAGGTCAGCCAAAATGTCAGCCAGAGCCTCCCGCCCTTTCATTTGATATCTATATACGATGCCTCCCTCTTAGTTGGCGGGGGGCGGGGGGTGGGGGGCTGCTGCATCCCTGGAAACCAATCCATCTCAATGCCCCTAAAGATGGAGGATCTGCCCAAGCTCCGGAGCCCTGTGAACTGCCAACAGACCCCCAACATGTCAGAGTCCATTGAGGCCTGGTGGGGCTGACCAGTTCATTTTCACAGCTAGGCTTCTGGAAGGCAGTATGCTTCAGGAAGAATGGAGGGAAAGAAGAAAAGCAACTGCAGGTGGGATGACTGTGTCTCCATTGCGCTAGGTGCTAGGAATCCAAAGGCTGATGAGCAACTTACAATTCAGCGATCAGTTCTCACCATCTTGTCCACTGCAACCAAGCTGGCCAAGTCTCAACTCTCAGGTCCAGTCTTAACAAAACCCCTTCCAGCAGACCCTCCAACCATATTTCTCTGAGTTTCTCTGCCCCCCTCCATGTGCCCAGTTATCACCCCCACCACAGCTAGCTCCTCCTGGCCTGTGTGTCCTAGGGGAGCCTCTTGCTCTAAAACCAATGGTTCTCAGAATTCTCTGGGAAGTTGTCATAAAGGCAAATTCTTGGGCCTCAATCCAGGTTTAATGATTTAGAAATTAGGGCCCAGTAATCTTTATTTCACAAGCGCTTGGGGAGATTCTGATGCTCACTCAAGTTTGAGACCTGTGGCTGTCAAGGTCTGGTTTTCTCCACGCACCTACTCCCAACCAAATGTCTCTTCAATGCNAGCAGGGGAGTGGGATGGGGAGGGAGGTGGGTGGAGATTCAAGAGGGAGCGGACATGTGTGTGTCTATGGCTGATTCATGCTAATGTAGGGCATAAACCAACACAACAATGTACCCTCCAATTAAAAATAAATCTTAAAAAGACAAAAAAATAGTAGCAATAACAGTGAATATTTATGATTTCCTTTGTTCCAGGCACTGTTCTTCGCACATATTGTCACATTGAATCTCCCAATCCACCCTCTAAGGAAAAGACTCCTAATTATCTGTTTTGGTGATGAAGACACCAAAACCCAGAGTATGAAACAAAACCAACCAAAATCCCTGTCCAGCTGCCTGGGCCTCCTTCAGAGATGGCTGTGGCAACCCACGTGATCAAAAGTTCAAGCCCTCTGCCACGCCCACCCCAAATCCCCCTGCCTACCGCTGCTTCGCCATCTTTGGGGTTACCCACACTCCTGTTCCCTCCCCTGTCCCTGGGTTTTCAGTCTGCACAACTAGCCCAAGTGAATCCTTTGCCTTGGCTTTTCNAACCCAGAGTACGAAACAAAACCAACCAAAATCCCTGTCCAGCTGCCTGGGCCTCCTTCAGAGATGGCTGTGGCAACCCACGTGATCAAAAGTTCAAGCCCTCTGCCACACCCACCCCAAATCCCCCTGCCTACCGCTGCGTCGCCATCTTTGGGGTTACCCACACTCCTGTTCCCTCCCCTGTCCCTGGGTTTTCAGTCTGCACAACTAGCCCAAGTGAATCCTTTGCCTTGGCTTTTCAACCATGTTGAAGGCTGGTGAAGAAGACAGCGGTGTGGATAAGAGAAAACAATGGAACACCCAAAACATGTTTCTTTGGCCCTGTAAATATAGGATAAAATTTTAATTTTCCAAAAGGTCTCTTATCTCAATTCAGGGTCAGGCTCCTTAAAGAAAAAGCCTGTGTTTCCTGAGCTGACTGCAGTTCAGAGGGAAAGGAGGGGTCCAGGACATGTGGAGAGGCGGGGTAGCCACAGCCGGGTGGTCACCCCAGAGATGCCACCAAGGAGATAATCAGAGGGCGGGCCAGGAGCCGGCTGCCTGCGTGGCAGCACTGCTGGTGAAAGTGAGACCTGAAGTTTACCGCAATTCTTTTCCTTTCAAAGGCAGTATATCTGGAGGAAAGAATCCAGCCCCAACCCAATTTCGATTTCACACCACACTCCAGAGTGAAAGGATGCGGGGCCCAGTCACAGGTCAACCAGGACGGTCAGCTCTCAGCTGGCATTTCACAGCTTCCCAGCGGTGGTGGCAAGACTGCCTTCAATTGCACACTTGCACGGATGCATGGCCCAGGTGGCCAGACAGAGTTGTTTTAACACATGCTGAAATCAAAAAGCTCCTTGCAGGTTTCTGCCCATGTGGGAGATGTCCACCGCACAAGTCCGGTGGGAACAGTGCCCGGAGGAGGAGACGCTGAGGAGCGGGTAGGAGTCAGGCCAGCAGGACCCCTCCAGGCCCCTGTGACATGGGGATGGTGGGCCTTCTCTGACCTGACCACCCTCCTCCCCTTCGTTCTCCAGGCCTCGGGGCTCAGGCTGCATTCCTATTCTCACAGCGAACTCCCCGGGAGCCCTTGCTATTAGCTTTCCCAGACCTTAGTCCTCAATTCTAACTTGCACATTTTACAGAGGAAAAGAAATCTTCTACATGGTAGAGGCATTCTCAGCAGCTTGAGGATGGAGGTACAAGAAAGAAGTATGAGGGATGGGGGTACCCGAAGTGTGGGAAATGGGGGTATAAGGAAAAGTGTGGGGGATGGGTGTGGATAGGATGTAGGTGAGGTGTAGAGACATGGAACTTCTTGATCTTCCTAACAACACTTCCTTTTCCTCTGCCGGTATATAAGTAACGAGGCACAATCTTCTTTTGCCTTCCCTGAACTACGAGTTTCTTCCATCATAACTCTTGGGACTGGAATTCCAGATTCCTCCACTTGGGCATCTGATCTGCCATGAGGCCTCCTGTGCCCACTGTATTTTTCCAAAGGTGGCCCGGGGCCTCCCCCGCCACGCTCTCTCACACCACATGCCATCAGAAGGAGGCTGTATGTTCCTCCCCACTTGAATCTGAGCAGGCCTGGTGACCACTTTGATGGACAGAATAAGATGGAAGTTGATGTTCCAGCCACCTCGGCTAAGTTCATGCAGATCAGAGAGGAAGCACTTAGCCGAGCACTCCCCCGACCTACAAAACTGTGAGCAAAATAAAACAGTTGCCTGAAGCTACTGCTTGGTTTGGGGGAAGTTCATTGAGCAACACTCAGTAATCAGAATAACTCCTCTGCCCCAGATACCTTCTCTAATTGTCTAGCATGTTATTTGAAAACCCTCAATTAGTCACCCCTCTGGGTTGAAGCACACACCCTGCTAAAGTGTAAATGGCCTTTCGAGAAATAAAACTGAGAGCCTATGCCGCCCATTAATTCCTGAGCACCATTAGTTTAGGACTTTAGGACCTAGTAGGGCCCTGAGAAAATGGAACATTCTCCTTACACATCACTGTAAGGAGAGGCAAGAGAGACAGCCCAGAGTGTTTGGGTACTGAGTGGGGTGAGCAGCCTGGAGTTTTAACCCCTACGGGGTGGTACAGCCATCCAATAAGGTCCAGAACATCCTGCAGGCATGTGAGCCCCCTTTCCTGTTAGTCTATGCTGTGTTTCTAACAACAAAACCATACACCTCCGCAATGAGCACAGGATCACTCTGGGCTTTGGCTGCAGGTTGAGCTGGACCCTGTGTACACATCAAAGATTCCCACATGGAAGAAAACTATTTTCCTGGGAGCCTATAGGACTGGGAACTTCCTGGGGACAGGGGGAGGATGCCCCCTGCTGGGGTCTGTATGGGTCTACAAGTCTTGGCTAAAACCCTGGGGGCCAGATGTGGTTAGGAATTCAGAATTAGAAAAGTGATACAGTGCATTTATTCTGAGCCATGAAACACCCCCTGCAGGTTCTGGGAAAGAATCCTGTAATCTCACACACACACACACACACACACACACACACACATTTCTACAGCAAAAGGCATGAACTTTCACAGTTTGATAAATGCCATAAATAGCCTCATATCGAGTTTGCCCAGGTTTTACTGCCAAATAAGTTATGGTAAATTTCCAGTTTTCAGAACTTTTGGGATCTTGGATCATAGACCTGTTTGGTTTATATTTCCCTCAGTTTTCCTCCAAGACCATTGGCCATATCTTTGAATGGATTATTTCCAAGCCAGAAGCTGTGAAATGCTAGATGTCTGCTTTTTCGCAGCATTAACCTGAGTCTCCTTGGGAGCACACCCCTTCTTCCTCCACAAAGCCCCAGCAGCTCTCCCCATCTGGCTGCCCCTCAGACAATGAATGAACATTTTACACTGAATCCCCATTTTGCAGATGAGGAGACTGAGTCTGTCAAAGATGCCAGATTTAGTTGATCACCAGGTTGTGCCTTCAACACTGTGCTCTGAATTAACTCTGGGCTTTAAACACAGGGATTTAGAAGTTATCCTCAGCCGAGGGTGAGAGTGGGGAGGGCTGGGGAAGTGTGAGAGGTGAGGAAGGGAAAATATGGGGAATTTATAGGAGGTGTGTCATTGGACTAGTACTTGAAAGACAAGTAGGGTTTTAGCAAGAACTGGATGGGGTAGCTGATGGGAGGTTGACAAGACTGGGCATTCCAGCCAGGGTCCCCTGTACACAAATGCAGGTGGGCGGGGAGCCCCAGTTTCTACTATGAATTCCCAGAAGTCCAGTCAAGCTCAAGTGTAAATTGTACAAAGGTGAGATGCAGAAGCAAATTCCTGAAGGCGGTTTGAAGGAATAAGGGGAAAGGAGGCTTTATCTATAAATAATTTCTTCACCAAAAGAAAAAAAAGGTTTTTAATGTGATATATTAACATGTGCTCCCCAGGTGGCACTAGTGGTAAAGAATTGGCCTGACAAAGCAGGAGACACAGAAGATGCAGGTTCAATCCCTGGGCTTGGAAGATCTCCTGGAATAGGAAATGGCAACCTGCTCCAGTATTCTTGCCTGGAAGATTCCATGGACAGAGGACCCTGGCAGGCTACAGTCCATGGGGCCACAAACAGTCAGACATGACTAAGTGACTGAGCACATGTGAACATATGGTGCTTTTGAGTACACATTACACTATCTCTGTGCTTTCTATAGCTTTAACATTTATTTCAAAAGAAATCTGATCACTGTCATTAGATTTTAATGGCAACCCACTCCACTATTCTTGTCTGGAGAATCCCATGGATGGAGGAGTCTGGTAGGCTACAGTCCACGGGGTCGCAAAGAGTGGGACATGACTGAGCGACTTCACTTTGTGTTCCAAGCTAAAGACTTGGGTTTATTCTGTGGGCGCCTTGTGAAGAGGCCACACTGAGCCTTTCCAGTGACCGAGCATGACCCAGTCAAAGCGGCACCTTGGGACGAAGGTTCTGAGGGCAGCGTGCGGCCGCACCAGACCAGAGCAGAGGGAGTGTGCAGACACACGGGCCACCCATGTGCTTCCTCCAGGGGAGGAACTGAGAGCCACACCCACCGAGAGGGGCTGGCCAACAACAAGGCACAGGATGGAGCTTGCCCAGCTCTTGGCAGATGGAAGTCAGAGGCAGCCAGATCTGGGGAGGGGCCCCCACTCTGCAGAGCAACGCCCCACTGCTGGGTGAGAAGGCGGCCACCGGTGTCCTGAGCTTACCCGTGAGAATCTAACAGGGACAGGCAGGTAGGTGACCCATGGTGAACACATCAGGGACCGGGAGGGATGGGTGGAAAAGGGTAAAGCAGCTTGAGTTGGACAATTCCCAAGAAAACCCAAGGCCCCCTCCCTTCTTCCGGCCAGAGCCCAGCTACCCTCACACAGAGGGCTGCCTTCTCTACAGCCGTGGTTCTCCAAGTTGAGCTGGCATCAAAATGACCAGGAGGCAGTTTAAGATCCAGATTGATGGGCTTCACAGCCACAGTTCCTGATGCACCAGATTAGAGTGGGAATGACAATCTGAATCTCTCGAAAGTTCCCAGGGATGCTAGTGCTGCTTGTCGGGATCACTCTGAGAATCACGGCTCTAACATCTCTGAGCAAGGTCCGAACTCCTCCCCCAGGTAATAAGTACTCGACAGGGCTCATGTAAGTTTCATGAAACCTCTGGAAAGCTGCCCCCAGTTCACAGAGGGGAAAACTAAACATCAACGGTGCTAAATATTGATCAATCGACTAAGGAGACACAAGTGGTGGGCAGCATGGCTAGAACTGGGCTCCTCCTTTCATGTGTGCGTGCACACGCGCATGCATGCGTTTAGTTGTGTCGGACTCTTTGCAACCTCATGGACTGTAGTCCAGTAGGCTCCTCTGTCAACGGGTTTTTTTTCGGGCAGGGTTCTTGGGTTGGTTTGCGTTTTCTTTTTCCGGGGGTTCCTTCACCCCGGGGCTTGACCGGCTTTTCTTGGTTTTCTTGCTTTGCGGTTGGTTTTTTTCCCCCTTGGGCCTTTGGGGATCCTTGTTTTCTTCCTTTTTTCCCCAAACTTGGCCTTCGTTGTTGGTTGTTGGCTTGGCTTGGTTCCAACTTGGCCTGACCGGACCAGGGCCATTTTGGTTTTTTTTTTTTTTGACCCTTTTGACTTTACTTGATTGGCTTTTTTTTCCAGTTTTTTTTTTTTTTTGGGGGTTTAAATTGTTCTTTTCAATTGTTGTTGGCTTTTCCTTTTTTCCTTTTTAAATTTTCTTTCTTTGGCAAATTAATTGGTTGAGGACTTCTTTTCGGCCTTTCTTTTTTTTAAAAAATTTTTTGTTTTTTGAATTTCTTGTTGCCACCCCCTTGCCCTTTTGTCTCCAGGCGCCTAAAGGGCACATGCATCTTGCACAGTAATGATGGCTCAGAGCGACTTGTCTGTGGGTATGTGGTGGCAGAGGCCAACCCTCTACCTGCTAGCCCTATCACATGTTCTTCAGAGGGCCCTGTCCCTTGTGGAAGCTGGATCTCCTTTCCCCAGGGCTGCGCAGAGTCACAGACACAGGCCTCCAGGAAGCGTGAGGGGCTTTTCTCCCCAACATTTTGATTTAGCACCTACCAGGCAGTCCTCGGGTACTAAGGAAGGTCCATATCAATTCAACTCCCACCTATTTGCTATTATTTCTATTCTTAGGTGATTGTTGGAATTGAGGCAGAGTGGGCTGGTTTCCCCACATGGAGGCCCCTTAGTCAGACAAAGGAAAGCTCTGCTTCCTGTCCCTAAAGCCAAATAAGTAAGTGGTGGCTTCCATTCACAGCAGAAGGCAGACAGTGCAGGGTGCAAGTGGGCAGGTCCTGGGGTCACCTGTCTGGGGCCAAGTCTTAACTCTCGAGATATTGACGGTGTGATCTTAGATAGGCTACCCAATATCTCTCTCTGGCTTAGTCCCTCATCCATTAAATCAGGGTAACAGTACCTGCTTCAGGGGGTAGTTGTAAAGTCAGTGTGTTAGTATATTAAAGCAACTAAGAAGAATGACTACATTCCATGGGGTCACAAAGAGTTAGACACGACTGAGCAGCTAACACAGACACAAGAACAATGACTGTCATTCAGAGTATACTTGGATGCTGCTTTTATTATACCTGTTCTTTAGGTTCACTTATGGATGTCAACCACCCTCTCAGTGGGCTCCCAGGAGATGGAGATGGAGAGGGCGAAGTTGCT